GCTTCAGTAAATCCCGAAATCCCCGCTTGGACTCCCCTATTATCGAATGTGAAACTAGTTGTTTCGAAGTGGTTTTCTCTTAATTCCAGTTTGCATCAGAACGAAACTTATTTGCACGATCTACACATCATTGTAAAACGTTTATTTTGAACTTGACTTCTTTTTTCCTTCTGAAGTTTCTCACATTTTTTGTATGAAGTTGGCGAAGTAGAAAGCCGAAAAGTCAAACCTATTATAGTCGAAGTAAACGATATTGTGCATACTTAGAGGTGTCGGCGCTCTCAAAGGCCAAAAAACCAATACAGAGAAATGAAGCCGCTGCCAACTAGTCCACATGAACTGAAGAATTATCGGTTCGTATTGGATAACACTCAGAAACATATTATCTATCATCTCTTAGTGATTTTCCTGTAAGTGTGGGTTCTAAGTTGTTACGCCTAAAACTTTAATCAGTTCAACAAGTCAATCATCATCTTATTCATGGAAAGTAACAAAGATATAGAACGATCAAGCTCGCATCGAAATACCCTGTGTATTCGATTCAATTTGACGCAAACTTGTTATCATGACGGAAACTTCGAACATGCTGTCAATGTATTTCACACTTATCTGAAGTATAAATACAATCTATAAATCCCCTTAGACTATTCAATTATGAGGTTAGTTCATCAAAGGAAGGAAAGAAAAGGGGTTCTATATAGGGGACGCTTCTACGACATCGAGCGTAGATGGTATCGCCTTCGCTAGCCAAAGTCCCAAAGTAATTTTGTTGCTGTTCTTACAATGACAACTTTATTGATTTTCAAATTCCGATTCAGTCGTTTTTTGCTGCTGAGACTTCGAGATAAAACTCGCAGTTACCACTGATGATGTCTACTTCCGTAAAAGACGAAACGTTTCAGACTTCAGGATTTTGTTATCTTCAATCGAGACACCTGCCGTAAAAGCATATTGAAGTGTTCAAATTTCTATTTTTAAAAATTTACACTTAAATATTATAATTGGTAGCTGCTCACTTTAGTTAAATACAGGGTGTTTCGTGACTACGGTACAAAACTTTCTCTTGACTAACTCCCTCTAATGGTGAAAACCGTTCGGTAGTTTTTGAGTTTCTCGCGGTCAGATAGACAGACAGACACGGCGTGGACTTTATAAAACGTAGTGATAAATGTCACTCAAGGACTTTTGAGAACAATTTTTTATTCCCGTAAACAATGGATTATTTCGATTCACCTAATAATTATACATTGCTATAATGAAAATGTGTATTTTTAGATTCAGCTTTGTATTTCAAAATGATTCCAACCGCATTTCGCTTTGTATCCAGCTATAAAACTTTATATTTACATGCATGACGAAAGCATTTATTTTTCACATTAAATCATATTGTCATCAGTAAAATAACAATGTAAGAGCATGTATATGTAAAAAATAACGAAGTATGCTTAGGAGCGGACCTCCATATTGTAATGAAAATAGAATTTTAAAACATCGAATATTGACTCGGAGAATCTGAAGTAACTATTAAAAAATCAAAGTGCATCTAAATCAACTACTCAAGCAGTAACGTCCCTTGGGAATGGCTGTCTAAGTTTCCGCATTGAATTGACAGATATCGGAGTGGAAAAAGGGAGTATAACATATGATTTTACAGAACAATTGATGCAGTGCTGACGAATTTCATGAAATTGATCCGAAGTCATAACATAAGGCTTTCACTATTAGTGAATTTCAAAAATGAAAGTAATTGTTAAGATGTAGAGATGTTAAGAAATTAAATTTATAAATGATGAATTCGAAACAACTACATAAATATATATTTTTCAAGAAAATCTTCATCATACCCCTGTTAAGCTAGCAGAACTATTTTAAATTTTTATATCCATTTTTAGACCATAATTTTAGTCTAATTTTGAGCTAATCTTGTACTCTATTCTAGAATTTTTCGCTCTTCACTTAACGGAGTTATAGCGGGTTCCGCTTGCTTAACGTTACGCTAGCTTATCGTTAAACTAGCTTAACGTTAAGCTAGCAGATCCAGCCACAGAAAAAACATTTTTTCGAATCAGACTACGTCATAATTTCAAGCCCATTTTAGGCTACTATTGCCCCACATCGCCGATTGTCTATGCGTTGTTTTTTTTAATCTGTGGGTTCAGCTAGCTTTACCATAAAGCTGGCAGAACCAAATCGTTATGCTTTACTTTTTGTAGAATTTGAACTTGCAATAATTTCAGGCTCATTCATTACGTCATTGGATAATTTGTTGCTCCTCGTTTGAATTAAATATTTGGGTAATTACTTCAGCCAAACACGCAGTAGATGCAGAAGTAATTATGGGAGAAACAAAATATATTTGGGAAATCACCTCAGATACACGCTGTAGATAAGGATATAATTGTTTGAAAATGTTCTTCAAATGTGGAAGAAATAGAAAAATATTGAGAATTTTCGTATTTCCATCCATCGCCGACTTTCCGTGTGTGTCTGAGGTATTTACTCAAATATTTAATTTAAACAAGGAACAAAAAATGTTCCATATGGTAATGAAGGACTCTAAAATGGGCCTTAAAGCAAGTTCAAAATTTCCAAAAAGTGAAGGATAGCGATTTGGTTCTGCCAGCTTAACGGTAAAGCTAGCAGAAACCACATATTTGAAAAAAACAACGCATAGAAAATCGGCGATAAGTAGGACGTAGTTTGATTCAAAAAAATGTTCAGCTAACTTAACGTTAAGCTAGCAAAACCCACAATTTCTCCGTTAGATGAAAAGTAAAAATTTTTTCAATTGATTACAAAATTTTTCTAAAATTATGACCCAAAAAAAATATGAAAATACTGAATATTAGATGTGCATAATCTGCGGGTTTTTATTTTCATGTTGTTTGTTTTCTATATGTAGATACAATCATTTGTAATTCTTCAAATGAAGAAGTTCAAAACATTTTGTACATTTGTGTAAATTACCTGTATTTTACAATTTCTTTGTATTTTAATAATTCACCTTTCATTTCACGAGAAAGTTTGGACAGTAAGAAGCACATAAAATGTATTTTAACAACAAAACATATAAAGGTAGTTGGAAAAGGTTAGGAGGAGGATTACACAACACATTAATAACGAAAAATCTACTTCTACATCTAATCACTTCTCATTTTAACAAGTATTTTTCAACTTCAACAAAAAAATCTATTCATTTTTCAAACTTAAATAAATTTACAGTACATAAAATATAGATTTATATTTTCACTGTAAATACATAAATATCTAAAAAATTCCATTCAGTTTCTGTGTTAATTTCGAAAAATCATACGTATAAATTATACAGGATGTTTCATAACTACGGTACGAAACTTCAGAGGGTGATTCGTTAGGTCGTTTTAAGAAAAAAGTATTTATGAACATCTGTCCGGAGTTGCTTTGTTTCTGAGATGGACGTTGAAGTTAAAAAAAACGTTATTTATAAANAGAACTGACAAACAAATCTAAAATTATAAGCAGAAAACAGTTATGGTTCTGACAGGCTCTTGAAAGTATTAATTCATTAAAAAAATGCGACTGTCATTCGCATAATGCAATCAATTCTGTATCGACAGAAGACGATAGAATGATTATAAATGTATGATAATACACAGAAAAACAAATTTATCCTCGAAATAAGGCCATCTACTAACACAAATCGAAATAAAAAAACAGAACAAAACGGTTTAGTTAGAGTTTATTAAAACAAAATATTATCACAGTTACAAAGGTGGAAATACTAACTAGAAGGCTAGCTAGTGCTAGGTGAATGATTGGTGGTCAGACAAATGCAGGGAAATTCACTCAAAACAATTTCTAGCATATATCTGGTAAGTATCAAAAAACATCCAATAGAACAAAACTTATAGATTGACCAGCATTCAAACTAGATAGATACACAATTCATTTTGGATCCTTCTGATGTAATCTTTATACAAAACTACTTCTTCTCAAGCGTCTTTCGCTCTATGAAAAAGATAGAAGATTATTGAACGCATTTGCGCCTTGTTCTCTAGGAGTTGTTTTTTCCTGATTCAGCCCGGTTTTGTTTTCTCAGTGGGGCAAGTATACTCGTAAAAGACATTTTCATACTTCAAACAAGAACCACGGCAAATATTGTAAAATCATTTGCTTTTTCATAAGGTCTCACTATAATTTCATGAACTACACCTTACAATTTGATGTAAACAGATTTATGTTTCGCTATACAACAGTTTCCACAAGCAGAAATGGTAAATTACTCATGATTCAAACCATTTTCATACTCTATTTTATACTCTACATAGCTACTGTCTATATTTCAATCAGTAAATAATTTCTAGGTTAGACTTAACTCTAACCTGAAAAGACTGCGGAGAGTCAAAGTAATTTTATCTATCTAATTGGGCAGGTAGTGGCTAATATTCCTACAATACAACACAAAACAGTGAATGTAAACCTTCATAGTGAAAATCTCACAGCGAAGTATGTTGAAACATTTTGATATGAAGTTTCATGAAGTATCAGTTCCATTCCATTATTAATTTTTCAATTCTCAAATTTGTTTTATCAAAACTCTTACTTTTGGTATATCCCAGTAGGAAAGTACCAGTAGGAAAGTGTTATGGTGTACTCTAGTTGCATATTTATTTTAAACGCATATATTTGAAGAGTTCGTAATCTTGTTTGACGTATGAGAAACTTGTAAACGTTTTACATGTCGTAAATGTGTTTTTAACCTTATCAGAACAGGTGAATATATACGGGACAGATAAGTGATTGCTTTATTTCAGATATATGTGAAAAACTGTATAAAGTGAATCGCCCTGAACAGATATGATAACAGTTATCAGCAATCAGCAGAAATAGCACAGCAAGCAGATGACAACAGCACAAATAACTCAAAACAAAAATCTAAAAAGGCGTATGAGGCAACTCTGGCTATGGTATCACAGTCAAAACGGTGCTCTTTCGAGAAAAGATCAAGTGCCACACATTACCTGATAAGGCAGGAGTTCTCTAGCTTCATCCATATTGGTGATTTCGAAGGTAGGCGGCTGTGGAAACGGTCCTTTTCCCGGATACGAAGTGCTGCGCCTGAATTTCACAGGTGAAATAACTTGCTGCTGGTTGAAAGTGGGACTAGGCTTTCGACCCGCGAGACCTACTCCCATTTGTTGCAACGGGGTGAGATTTGGGACACTTCGTCCGCGATTCCAAACTGAAGAGTTTCCCGGAGACCAGTTTTGGCCAGGCGGATTGGCCCATGAACCGTATCCTTTGTACAACGGATGGTTGGACAAAGACTGCTGCCTCGTCATATTATGAGGAAAATTGTGGCTGGCCGTTATGGCTCTTCTGCCTTGGTTCACGTGGTTTTGGTTCAGGTTGTTACCGAACAGCTGCTGCTGCGGTGTTGGGGAAGGAAAGTTCTGAAACCCCATGCCCCCGTTCACGTTGGTGAAATTCGGGACGTAAGTATCTTCGATAGCTGTGGACCATAGCGCTCCAGCTGGTGTACTGGGCTCAGCTGGGTGGAACAGAGGCGGAAGAGAAGGAACCGTTTTCGTGTTCCTAGCGACCTGTTCGTTCAGCTTGTCCGCGAGATCGTTCACAGTGGAAGTGTCACAGTCTTTGGGAACCGCAGCTGCATTCTTGTCTATAGCAGACGAAACCGTCGATCCCACAGTTGACAAGTCGTCTCCGTTAGCTCCACTGACGGCTGCCACGGCTTTGTCAGAGAGATCATCTTGCATTGTTGGATTGTAGTTTTTCCCAGTATCAGTGCCGTTACCACTTGACGAGGACGTAGGTGTGGTGTAGAATAACGTACTCGGGCTGCTCTTCGACGAATTCACAGATATCTCCACTACACTTAAACCAATGTTCGCATTACCACTAGAACTAAATTCCCCCATTAGTGTACGTCACTGACTAAAGGCCGGTCACGGTGTCCCGTATCTGCGTTATGTCATACACATACACCCGTCTGAACACACAGCCAGTGAACCACCAGCCTACATTCATGTTAGTGTCATTGGTTTGCACCGAGGAACATGATCCGCGAGTACATACGATCTGCACCGACTGCCTACGAATATAGAGCCTGCCAAAGATTGCATCGGCTGAGTTTGCGCCGCATAACTAATTCGCTTTTCCGTCCTTTAGTCCAGTTAAAATTTGACCAAGTTTTGTAAAATAACTGTTGATAAATTGAGAGGTCGAAATGGTGCTAGAAATATCGGAATAATAATATAACATTGAGTGTTAGGTTTACATAAAGTTGTTACTGGGGTACATTGGTTGGGAGGGTTCATTATTATTCGTGAGAATGAATATTGTCGACGCAAGCCGAATGCGAAAGTCGTAAGTCATTCGAGCGAATGATGGTCATTTCTCACGAGTGAAATACTAAACTTTTTCACAACAGAAATATTTCAAAATAACTTTCGTTCGTGAAGGATCTCCTGCGTAAGATTATTACCATTGAATTTCATAACAAGTAGCAAAAATATTTCCCATTTTTATTATCTCATTCAATTTTGAATAGTTTCAATATTGAACGGTTTGAACCCCCAATTCCTGGTAATCAAGTCCATGGTCGAAGCTGCTTACAAATTAGTGTAGCGTAAAAGCTAACTCAGTGACGAACTTTCTTAAAATATTTTTTCGCTACATCACAGATTTCTGGTGGGATACACTCGTTTTTAATTCCCGAAACTATATATTTTAAAACATTTATCAAACTTTTTACATCTGTTAACTTGGACTTACGAAATCTTCCAATTAAAATAACGTTCCAGAACAAGTCAGGGCTAAAATGAAGATTTTATATGGGAATGACCCTAACAGATGAAACCAGGTATTATTTTACAAAATTGATACTGTTAACAACACCGTATTGATTCCGTTTTTCAAAAGATAGTTACATTCTTTGGATATATTTCTCAACTATGTATCCACCAAACTATCAGAATCCACAAATTTGTTTGAATCTTGGATCGAACATGATCTGAACTGAGTCTACGTGTAAAAAAACCCAAATAAATTTTGCATATATGCAGGTTTCGAATATATCCCAAAAATTCTTCTGTACTTCAAATTCCTTGAATAATAATTGACAGATTGAAAAACACAAACACATATTATAACAAAAACGTTAGCTTCATATTTCTGTAAAGTTGTCTGCAATCGCCACGTTTACTTCGAATCCTCAAATGAAAATTATAATTATATCAAATAGTGCAGGATGCTGTTTGCACATCCTCTCTTGTTTTCCTCTCTTAAGTGAATTTTTGCCTTCCACGATCTAGAATTCACTATTATCATCAAGCCATAAGGTGGCTACGAATAAGTGTTTAACCCGAATGGACTTGGTGTCTCAATGTTCTTGGAATCCAAAAGGGTTTTTAAATTCCTTCGGACTATGTTCAGTATGTCATCTACATCGAAAGAAAAATCGGATGTCTTTCTCTGTTAAAGAGTAAAACTAAGAGAGACATCCGATTTTCGTCCCGATGTGATTTAAAAATAAGGCCTCAGGACAGTGTTCCTCAAACTTTTCGAATTCACGGCTCCCTTATGTTTTTTGAACGGTATCGAGACGCCCCGCGATTTTTATTAATAGGTACCGACGTGTTACCTTTACTCTCAGTTATCTATGTTGTAAAACGTTGTAACTTGAGACTCACCTGTGGCCCACGGCGCCCCAATAAAGGTTCCACGGCGTCCCAGTGCGCCGCGGCGCACACTTTGGGAAACACTGCCCCAGGAGAATGAAGGATTCCACCCGATCCAGGTTGAAGGATTATCCCCAACAGGTGGAGGCACATGAAATGAGTGATTGTTGTTCTTGTGAAACTGAATATTTTTCACGACATTTCAGGCTTGGATAACAAGTCAGCAGCCAATAGCAATCATATGCTATCTAGACCATACTGCTTGGTGGTTAACGACACTCATTGACTCAAAGTATGACAAAAAAGTCTTTGTTTAACCAATATTCACCTCACAACAGACGTGAAGGCCTATCAGTTGATAGTTATTCAGAAAATGATGGGTTTTCAGACCGACTTTTATCATTATTCTCATTCTTTTATTTGCTTATTTCCTAGTGATTGGAACTAGAATTTTCCCAATTTTTTTTTCCAATTTATGATCGCTGAAAAAAAAAATGTAATCGCAACTTTCAAACGTCGACATAGTTCTACTTGTTTTTACGGGGCTATATCTCTGCTGACGTCCAAAAGCCCCGTGTAAGCGCGCGCAGAGGATCGAACAGCTGATGACGACACATTTATGGACTATGGACTATTTGTAAATATTCCTAGGTCATTCTCCCAGATGGAGCCACTATCTCAAAACAAAAAAATCATCCACAATCCATCAATTTTTTGGAATCCATACTTTTTTGCACTGGAAAAGATGCGGATATTCCTGGCAGTATCAGTCACGAAGAATCGATTCCACCGTTAAGCTGAAAGTCATAAATTCGGAAGAGTACAAAGTATACTCGAATCGATAAATCGGTGTACAGGGTGGAGGTTTTCAGTAACTGGAGCAACCCCACATCTCATTTCTCCAGTGACAGATCTAGGATTTTATGGGAGGGGAAGAGTAATGGAATCAGAATGAAGCAAATCTGGGTGATTGATTGAAAGTTACTCCAATGGGGATTCGAAAAGGGATTAGGGATAGCAAATATAAGAAATTGAGGACGACTCACGTTTGTATAGCTATTCCTCTTACAAGTAGTGAGATCTCGCGGTGATTAAACACAAGTTTCGACTCACTTTTTCGCATATAGATGTAAAATGTATTATTTATGCTATTGCGTATTTTATTGATGACACATGTGTATTCTTTCATCGACCTAACTATATTGTGTTCAAATGAGGGCGGTATCTGGTTCTTTTTGCTTTTGAGCCTTTAAAATGTTCCCCTTTTAGTTCCAACTCTTTAGTCATACTCTTTTTCATTACACCCGTCAATATTTGTGTTCTGTGCAATTTTGGAATGCTCTCGAATACTCTAATGTTTGGAAAGTGAAACTTCCAGCCCATATATCTGAAGAAACACGTCCTTCGAGTAAAAACGGGGTTTTCTTCTTGAGTGGACGATAAAGAGCTACTACACCATATAACTCCTTTGATCGTGCCACAATGATCTGGGATGTTCTCGAACTTTTCAGATTATCCCAGAACATCACACCACATTCTGGAATATTCCAGGAAGTTGTGGAATACTCTCGTACATTTTTTAATGTTCTATACTATTCTGCAATTTTCTAGAGGGCTGAATTTCCAGCCCGCATATCTACTAAAGCGCCTTTCAAGAGAAAACGGGAATCTTCTTCAAGGATGGGAGTTACCTCATGTAATTCCCGTGATCGTTTCATAATGATCTGAAATGTTTCGGGATTTTTCAGAATGTTCCATACTATTCCCAAGCATTCGACAAGATTCCAATGTTCTGGAATGTTTCCGATATAATCCAAGACCCTTCGTGGTATTAGCCAGGGGGGTAGTTGTTTTCTGACAGGTGTCAGTCCATTAACCTACTGTGTAGGTAAGTGAGGACTGGCCTGTACGAATTGTTACCGCTGCTCATCTTACACCTATTTTTACTCAAGTCTAGTGTAATGTGTCATCCCACGCATGTATGTTCGATATACTGTGATATTTTTATTTTTTTCTGTTCATTTTGTGACCATTTTCATACTTTTGTTGAAGTTCCAGGTAATGAACAATTATCATTATTATATTAATATTATTATTCATGGGCAGACTTATGTGACAATGTGACAAAAGCGAGGAAGCAGTCTTTTTTATTGAGATATCACTCGACCCTCAATGTCTTTTTGAAAAACTTGAAGGGTTGACGATGGTTTCTGAGTCAAAACTTGTCTCGCCTACAAAAAAACTCAAAGTGTTTTTTACATTTTCTTTCCCTGGCAGTTGACCCTTGCGGTAGGTTTTTGATGGTCCACCCTGTATACCTTTAGGAATATAAATTTCATTTGGAAAGATAAATCCCAAGTCTGTGTTTGTTAAGCTGACAGACCTCAGAAATCACATTAGTACCCAACCGATTGCAAACATGTTTCCGGTTCTCATTTCGAATAATCAGGCTTTATGCATTTCCTCTCCACCAAAAATGTTTTCAATCAAGATCCCATCGCTCAGCCTACAACCCCGAAACGCGGTTCAGATACGAATATCGACCAAAAGTGTGCCCCAATAAAACACAATTCTAGCCCGTGCTTACTCTATCAAGATGTAGGTCAGCTAACTGTTTATTAAGTATTCATTTTTAATCAATAACTCCATGAAAACAGAAAACAACCCATAAGCCCTTCATTGAATGCGTTTCTCGTGTTTTTAGACACGTTTTCTTTCGTACGAACGTGGACGTATTGATCAGGGGTTGTTTTTAATTACAATGACTTTTCGCAAATCAACTGTGTTACTGACACATACAGCGCGGATGTAAAAAGTTACCCCTCTAACTTCTGAAAGGGACAAGAAAAGGTCGGACGACATTTACGTAAAAATTTATTGTTTTTAGTACTTCTTGGTGGAAAAGATAATAGTGTTGCACCACTCGTCACATACAGAGGGGCATTTCTATCTAACAGCCTTTAATTTTTGAATGATCTGCTCCTGAGTAATTAGCTGTTTCATGCCCGTTTTGAGATGGAAAGATATATCGTAATTTCAAAATAAAATTTACTCCAGTTTATCCCAATGAATGTTAGAAATGTTTGAAAATAACTTCCTGACAATAATGAGGTTTTTATACTGCGGTAACTACCAAAAAAAAACTAAGGGCGTCATATCAGGTGATCTGGTGGGCCACATCGGGAAACCATGCTTGCATATTCATTGGTTTGGATAATTGTCATTCAGCCACCATCAAAACAACCTGTGGTCGACTGATGTAACATTATTGTTTTTTTTTAATCAAAAAGTACTAAGAAAAGTACGCACAAGAAGTATGTTTCGCTCAGACCGTACATCAGTTTCAGATATTAAATTACTCACGATTCATACTTCTATCCTTCCAACCACAACAAGGCAAACC